GTTCACTGTTCATCCCAGAAACTAGCACGGAGATCACCAGATTGACCACTGTTGCACTGTGGAATTTTATCATCCCCGTCAACTTTTAGAACACACGAATGTTGTTTGTAGGTTCAACATCAAAGAGATAACATTTTTGTTTCAATTTTGGAACAATTATTACGATAACAATTCGTACTGCAGTATTTCATTAACTGTGTCCCCCATGAAGATCCGGGTTAGAACTAGTCTTCAGTAACCCATGCTTGTCGTAAGAGGGGACTAAGGGAACGGGTGGTCAGGTTTGCCAAATGCGTAGACCGATGCGCATGTCGTTGATCACAGTATTGACTGGTCAAGACCCGATTATGTACAGACCGCCCCCAAAAGCAGGAATATTCCTGAGTACGGCGTTGAAAAAACAAACATTTCATTCATTAACTCCCAAACCGTAGTCATTCGAAACAATCCAAGCATCATGTGGGTGACAGATCACAACAGCATATTGTCGTCATCACGAAACGTCAAAGTAAAGGCTTGATCACTACCAGTGGAAATCATTAGAATGGACCACTGGCAGTCAGTGTTGATAAAAGAATTAACGTGTCATCGACGACATTTGAGTTTGGAACTGAACTATACTAGGCCAAAAATGAAACGCATTGTATTTTAGAAAAATCTATGAATTACTTATTGTGTTAAAACAATCGTCAAAATATGTAACAAAAGTGCTGATAACATGATTTTATTCAATTGCACAAGTTAAAAATCGACTTAACTGAAAATGTTGATTTTGATGAGATTTCTTACAAGGATTAAAAAGGCATCACCACAACGCAACAGAAACCACCTTCCAGTTGAAACTGTGCATCAAAGAGCATGCACTGTCCTGCTGTAAAAATCCAGATTACTTTCGGAAATCGGCATTCGTTTTGAAGGAGTTTCAAGCTCAAATCTCTACGCCACGTCTTGATGCTGCGACATGGAACATCGCCATTGAAAGAATGCACGCTGGAGATTACCAATCTTCTGTTGATAGGCGTCTGAATGTTAGTCTGAGCACGATATCATAACTCGTTGCAACCAGACAGGCATAACAAATTACCTTCCCAGTACAGGCAGTCCTCGAGTTACCACTGTAGCCCAAGATCGGTACACCTGGGTACTACATTTGCGTGATCGTACTGCCACGGGTGAGAGCACAGCAGCCAGGGTGCCTGGATTTCGGAGGATATCCGGTCAAACTGTACGGAACAGGTTGAAAGAGATTAAACTGGGCGCCAGGAGATGCGACTTCGGGCCCGTGCTTCGTCATCCCCCCTTGCGCTCAGCGTCTCTGTTATCTAAAATTATCCACATCGTTGTATAGACATTTCCTTCTTCTAAACTGATGCAAGAATTCATGTCCAAAAGTCTAGTTCTAGACGAGTTATAATTGTTTTAAAATACAACATTTTTGCAACAGATTTCTGCGTTTCTTTTTATAATAATATATACAGTACAACCAGACATTATTGAGAATTTAAAGATTGTAATTTTTTTCACTCATTACTCACGTATTTAATGTGAATATTAGCAGAACATAATTCCAGATTCAAAGACAGGTGAACAGTTAGTGTTTTGTCAAGTCACCATGGGCAGCAATGCAGGCTTCAATGCGGCGGGGCATACTACTGATCAAAGAAGCTAGAAAGTAGAGGTCCATGCTGTCCCAATATCGGACCACCTCTTCTTTCATTTCAGCAATATTTGTCAGATTTTTCTTATTGACACTTTCCTTCATAAGTCTCGAAACAGTTTCTATTGGATTTAGGTCAGGGCTATAGCTTGGCCAATCTAATAATGTCATATTTTGGGTCCGAAACCAGGCCTGTGAATGCTTTGAACGATGTTTTGGGTCGTTGTCCTGCTGGAAAATCGAAACATTTCCACAGAACACGTGAGCAGATGGAAGTAAATGTCCCTCGAGAATATATGTGTACCGCTCACTGTTCATATTCCCTTCAAATACACAGAGGGGCGTTGCCCCTAACACAGATATGCCACCCCACACCACCCCACACGTTAAATTTCGGACTGTACTTTTGGCGCTGATACAAAGGTTTTTCAGTTTGTTTGGTCCAGAATGTCAGTGTATTAGGAAAACAGCCACACAGAACTTTCATCTGAGAAAATCACATTGTCCCAGTTAAAATTTCTATGCTGTAAGCACCAGTTCAACCTTCACTGCTTTTGTTCAGGTTTCATGATCGGTGATGGAATTCCTCGACTTTTCTGCCAACCCATTGCATGCAGCTCACTTCTAACTCTCCCCTTACACACAGATAGCCACAGTTCCTCTATCAATCATATCCAGCCTTAAGTTTTCTAAACTCCTTCGTTTGTTTTTAGAAACAAGAATACCAAGCCGCCTCCTGTCACCGACAGTCAATTTTCTGGGCCTACCTGCGCCTCCCTGGTGCTCAATACCATATCCAATTGCAATATTTTCAAAACACGATAAACAGTGGACAAAGGGATGCATGTTCTACTTGAAATCACTTTAGCTGATCTGATGTCCTTGTTATAATACTCTAAAATCAACTTCCTCTTCTCTAAATCATCCATATTGAGGATCACTGAAAATGTCGTCTGCTAGCAAGTAAACAAAGGGGGATAACTCTTCACAAACTAATGAAAAAGGGTCAACGGAGTTGTCTCTCTTGAATGAAACCAAGCACTTGATAGCTGGTCAAGGTTGTTTATACTAGAAATCCAATTAAACATATTCCTAAAATTCCCAATAATTTCTGGTCATACTATATCAAAAGGAAACGGTATGTTAAAATATCAGCCAGCACGGTGTGGACGTCACCGTAAGAATGGATGTTGATGATTGCATTCTGGCGATGTGAACGTTACGCAGGTGGGAAACATGTTTCCGCGGCATAGGAGTTTCAGGAACAAGGCAACCATCCGGTCTCCGTGTTTGATGGTATGCTTCCTGAAAATGAATTGGATGTTTGCCTTTTTGCTGAAGTATGTGACAGTAGATATACAAAAAATAGTAGGTTTTGTAATCGGTTATCTGCCTGTTTTGATCTGGTGTAACATTGTGATCATTCAACCTTGGGGTAAAGAGTGTGTAGCATGTTGTCACAACGGGATCCATGAGTCAGCCTTCATGCTCCACATATTCGTGAATGGTCTCACCTCCTCCGTACGATTTCCGATAGTCCACTACTCGTGAGGTTTAACGTGATGTTCGTTCACTTCACCTCATCTCATGTTCAGAGTTGAAAAACTTCCAAAATCTACTTACGCCTTGAATGGGATTCAACCTTTGAATTATAAGTCGTAAGGCAAGCATATAAAGTCATTATAGAACGAGCTCGATTGTAAAATGACAGCAGATACTGGAATTACTATAGCATTGCTCGTAGGGAAAATAATCAACAATTTCAGTCACAGATAAGACTATTTCTGGCGTCTCCTAACGTAATATTGCGTGATTAATGCTAAAACCAAAGCCACTCACTCGATTAATTCCAGATCGCTATGACATAGCTGTCTGTCACAATAAACATCGGTATTTCACTTACTGATTAATTCAGAATTTCGAAAGATTTAACTAATGCAACCTCCAAATCGATCGATATTCTAGAACTAGGGAAATACGTTCCTCGGGCTGTTAGGTCATAATAAACATGAAAAACTTTCGCTTATGGATAATTGTAAACCGGCATGTGGTGGACAGTACTGTCTAGTAAAAACAGTATACCAACTCTTGCCTTTTTGCCGTTTAACGCTGCACTCAGCAATATTCCGGCTATATGACAGCGGTATTTAATTAACCAAGTCCAGACCAGAGAATCCAGTGATCAACAGCATGAACAATTGGGATACGATGACATGTGTCAACCAAGACAGCGAGCCTGACAACCCGATCCCGTCAGTTGATAAGCTTGTGTTGACAAATTCTAATCCGGATCTTCACGAGTTGTATACCCACTTGACACAGAGAGTACCTACTTGAGGGAAAATATTCCACCCGTGGTTGACAATGTTCCTGAAATATCACGACCATGAAAGTTAACGTCTTCTAAGATTGTATTCATTTGAAAAGCGAGGAACACATTTTTAAACAACAATGTTTAAATCCAGGCTGTTACATGTACAAAACACAATAAGGTTTACTCAATTGAGCTGCAATATCAACACTACTAGAAAATTGCAAACGTATGTTTCGTAAACTACACAGCATCACAGATATTTTGATACGGATACAAACGCAAACATTTTGCTCGAGGCAGTGTTTCAGTCAAAATCAAACAAAGTCTACAAATAAGTCGGGTCGGGTGAATATTAAGCGATCTAAGACATCCGAATCAAAATATAACCAGTGCAGATTTCATCGCAAACTTTCAAAACCTTTTTGCATGTTTTATTAATTTTGTCAACACGTCTTGTCCCAGTTTTAATTCGCCATTGTCAAATGTCAGGCTGAATATCGAAATCATAAGAACGTGGAGTGAAACAAAAAATTCCCATAATCATAGGGAAGCTCTGCTTACCGCAAAACTTTCATTGTGCTTATGATGTGATGACACCAGGCCTTCAGCAAAGTGGTGAGACTGTAAATACCCCACTTGTGTCATCTGTTACGATGACATGCAACTCAACCCGTAAGGCAAACAAAAACCTATTGCACAAGAAAAAACAGGAAATTGCATCAGACATCATGTTATCCTGAAACACATATTTCTCCTCAGACGCGTATATAATTGGGCGCGGATGCCAAAAGCGACAAGGGGTAAATACTGTTTGTCCTCCTCCATTACGTTAACGTTTGTGTTAATTAGAAATACGAAAGTAGGATATGCGGCTTAAATACTTCAGAAACCTCAACACTAGTTGACATGATTATGCAGTTTATCTGACTCAGTGTGGAGGTTTTGTAGGGGCAGAGAGATATTGATATGCTGTAAAAACATGCATATTTGGCTGAAATTGATTTTGATCTGATTATTTTCATTTTTCAGGAAGGTCGTTCTTGTGATTACACCATGTCCAATACAACGCCAGGGGAACTGGTTACAGCCATGTATGACAACACTACCCCGCCCATCGAGATGACGACCATTGTGTTTCCACCAGAATACCACAGACTTAACACAGTGATTGATTTCTTTAACACGTATTATATCTGGGTCATATTCGGTTTTGGATTTCCTGGGAATTTGATGAGCTTGTGTGTCATCGTTGGCATGTCAAAACGAAGATTAACAACGTCGTTTTTTTACGTTGCAGTTCTTGCCGTCGTGGACAATATTACAATCATTCTGAAGATTGTTGAAAATCAATCTCGAAGTCACGTGAAGTTGGTATTTGATGAAACTGGGTGTCAATTTCTATTTTTCTTTGGTTTAACCTGTGCAGCATTTGCCAACTGGATTCTGATTATAATATCCGCGGAGAGGTTAACAGCAGTGGCGTTTCCAATGAAAGTGGCTCTCATCTGGTCCTTGAGGAGGGCGGTTGGCGTCATAGTTTGTGTGTTTGTGTTTATAGGCCTCATCCACGGTCACATCTTCGCCACTGTCACCCATCACAGCAACTACACATGTACGGTGAAGGACCAGTTCCAACAATACATCCACCCCTACTGGTACTTCACCAGTTCTGCGGTTTATGCATTCATCCCTGCCACATGCCTGATTCTTTTCAACGTCCTCATCATTCTTTTGCTTAGGAGGTCCTCCGCCCAGCGACGGAACATGTTGTCCCAAAGCGACCCGTCCCTCTTAGAAGCACGTCGTCAGGAGCGACAGGTCACAATCATGCTCGTCGTCGTCGCTGTCACCTTCCTCGTCCTCACCATCCCCAGATGTATTTCCGTCATCGCCTTCCACAGTATGTGTACAAACAACTCGGACGTGATGTGTACTGCACGGAGACAGCTGTTTAGCACCCTTACTACCCAAATTGCTGACACCAACCATGCTATCAACTTTTACCTGTACTTTCTGACTGGGAGAAGGTTCCGGGAATACTTTCTGAAGTTTTTCAAGTGTAGAGGATTATTGTACATGAAAGTGTCGAGTAGCAACACCCATGTGTCAGAACTGCCTCTTACAGACTCAAGGATTTGAGAGCAAGTGGTTGTGTTTGTTTGTTTGTTTGCCGCACTCAGCAGTATTTCAGCTATATGGCGACGGTTTGACATGAAATCTGTCAGCCAGTTCAGCAGCCCGACCACCCGATCTCGTAATGGGTCTGTTACAGCAAGCACGGGTTGCCTAAGGCCAATTCTAACCGGGATCTTCACAGGTAATCAACCGGGATCTTCAACACTGTGTGTTGTCCACACATACAAGAATAGCTCACCTACATGTTGGTTTCCTGTAACTGGTAGTATTTTGAGAACCAGTGATTCATATTGTCAGCAAAGACCCAAACCTTAGAGATTCGATTTATCAACTAATTCTTCGAATCTTATCATCTGACCAATATCGCTGACCCTTAGATGATTATTTGATGGCTGTGGACCCATTTTAGTGTTTAATGTTTGTTCGTTTAACGGCCCGCGGGCGTATCATATAATTTACTATTAGTAAATACCAACCTGGAGTAATCTCCGTTGAGTTGTAACGCTCAGAGCGATACGTAATAAACTGACTCGAATTCTGACTTGTTCATCATGAAATACATAATTGACAACAGACATGATGTAATGGAAGTCCATAGGGGTTTACGATGAATACGATAGAGCAGACATATACTAAGCAGCAAAAGAAACGTCAGTTTGGAATTTTCTTTCGCTGAAACGGATAACTGTAAACTCGTTTAATGTTTTGATTGTATATTTTTGACAACATCTCCAACATTACCTGAGCATAGACATTCCTTCCCAAACTCAGAATGTAACCCAGGAAATGGTCTCAAAAACGCAATCTGATCTCGGAGATGGTACGGTGTTTTCCATGTGTTTCATGCAACTCATACTGCACGTGTTGTTCACAAGGACCAACCCTATAAAATGCACCCCCAAACCTGGTTGAAACATTCACATTACAACGTCAGCAGGATGCCGCGACTCACTACAGCTCAGAGGAACCAGGCGCTAGGAAGACTTGAAGCTGTCCACACTGCACAAGCCGTTGCCAATCACTTCCAGGTCAACGTTTACAGGCTGCAGCACCGTTTCAGGGCCAAAGGATCGCCCCCGTACTGGCAGACCAAGGGTGGCCTCACGACAAGACCGCCATGTTTTGCGACAGCATGTACAGAATCCCTTCATGCAGGCATCCGAAACAGCACGCCAGACACTGGGAACACACAGAAGACCAATCAGTACTGATACAGTACGCCGACGTCTTAACAGCGGGAACCTCCATTACCGTAGACCTTACCGTGGACCTATCCTCACCCCTCGACATTGGCGTGAACGTCTACAGTTTGCCGACCCGTGAAGATCCGGGATAGAATAGGTCTTCAGCAACCCATGCTTGCTACAAAAGGAGACTATGCTTGTTGTAAAAGGCGACTAACGGGATCGGGTGGTCAGGCATGCTGACTTGGTTGACACATGTCATCGGTTCCCAATTGCGCAGATCGATGCTCATGCTGTTGATCACCGGATTGTCTGGTCCAGACTCGATTATTTACAGACTGCCGCCATATAGCTGGAATTTTGCTGAGTGCGGCGTAAAACTAAACTCACTCAGTCACACTAGATACTGAAGTCAAGGGTCTGAATGGATGAGTTGGTGTGTCATTGGTGTGTCAAGATATTGTACACAAAATATGTTTTTGATCCGCTTATTATGTCCATTTCTGTAATGATTTGATTACAGTGCCTAATTTTTAAATCGTACTGACGTTTCTTTGCTGCTGAGTGTACATATGTTTAGTTTCTTGGTGCAAACCATCTTCGTCAGGAAGGAGTGCCCACTTACCTTGTGGATATGTGTTCCGGCAGCTTACGCAACACCATACGAATATCACGGTGCTGCATCCAAACATCCTTTGCATTCTTTTTTTCGAAATAATGCAGTATTTGTTTCCAATCTGTACAGGTGTGTAAGTGATGCTATTCTTGCTCAGTCGTGTGTTCTATATTCAGATTTATATATAAGCCATATTTTCACGTCGCGTGTTGATCATTCTTTCACTTAATCATGTGATGTCATACTTGATGTTGTTCACTGGTGATCATGTGATTGTTTGCGGCTGGTGATTGTTTCATTCAGATCAGTCACAGTGGTGTAGCTTTGTGGTTATGGCGTTTGCCTGTCATGCTAAAGGTCTGGGTTTCATGTCCATGTGAGTACAAGGTGTCAAGCCCATAATTCCTGAAAGTATCCTACATTAATCCTGGAATTGGGTTCACTAGTCTTTAGACTTTTAACCAAAGTATTCCAGAAAATGTTCAATCATTCTGATTAGTTTCATTTTCGTCATAGTCACTCTGTTCATGAAATGGTGTGTACATGTATAACTTTGTTTATAACCGGTACATTTTAAACATACAACATCCTTACAATTGTCTGTTTTTCAGTGCATTGTATTGCATTCTGTTATTAACCCCATGGACACATTGGCCACGACTCCTTCATTTATGGATCATTCATAGATTATGTGGGGCAGTAGGTTGCCGAGTTGTTAAGGTGTTCGCTTGTCTTGCCAAAGACCTGGGTTCTCCACATGTGTACAATGTGTGAAGCCTGGGGTCCCCTGCTGTGGTTTTGATGGCATATTGCAAAAAGCGTTGCAAAATCCGACTCACTCTGGCTATATTTCCTGAAACTATTTCTTGCTCCTAAAAGTAGCCATGTACTCAGACTGAGCAAGAATGAGCACTAGTCTGGACCACACAATTCAGTGATCAACAGCATGAGCATCGATCAGCGCAATGGGGAACCGATGACATGTGTCAACCAAGCCAGCGAGCCAGACCACCCGATCCCGTTAGTCGCCCCAACGACAAGCATGGGTTACTGAAGGTTCATTCTAACCCGCACCTTCACTGGTAAAAAGAGCAGTACCCTGTGATGGATAGAGATAGTGACTTCACTTCACAAATGAAAATGTCGTGGTGAATAGGTCCAGTGAATTCATTTGTCCTGATGCGTCAGGGATACGTGCTTACACGCTGTTAGTTATTTGTATACATGACGCCTGTGGGATTATCCAGGAAGCAGACCATTGTTTAGGGCAGTGTGGAGCTATATTTGTGAAGTGACTTATCTCCAGGAAATAGAACCAGATTGAAGCATGCTACACTTTAACTTTTAGAAGCTGTTTTGGTGATTGGGCATGCCCAGTGTAGATATGAAACAACACTTCCACAGACCTGTTTAGTGATGTCATTTAACTGCAATATATATAAACTGTTTCATAGATTTTTACAATTTACAGAATGTGACATGAACTTGCTCAAATCCCCCATGTCTTTTATAACCCTTTGACTTGTTCTTTTTGAAGGACAATGTTTGATTTTTTTATTGTACAACCAAGCCAGTATTTTTCAAAAATAAAAATACTTGTTTTGAGGAGAAATACATTCGCGTTTAAACTTGTGTCTTTAAAATTGTTTAGGATTTTTCTCTCCAATACCTAAGCTTCAATGAACCTTGACGAGCGTTATGCTATTTATGCCATCTGTAGGTTTATGTTGTTGCCTAGTAATATCTGCGAACCATGATAAGCAATTCTGACAACATCATATGATTATGAATATGTCACTTTCTCAACAAACCCAATTTAAGTTTCAATTTAGGATTACGTCAAAGTAAAGGTATGATCAGTCCTGACTATCGTCAGAAACAGATTTCATTCGATGCAAGGGGAACACTACCAGTGGAAATCATTAGAATGGACCACTGGAAGTCAGTGTTGATAAAAGAATGAACGTGTGTCATCGACGACATTTGAGTTCAACTATCGAAGTTCTGTTTCATGCTTTTTTCGTAAAAATTGCAAGATTTAGTTAGTCTGTTAAAAGTGCAAACATGAAACATATATCTTTTTCTATCTTAAAAAACATTTGAGAATATAAGTGAAAATGATATTTTAAAATGTTTTAGTTTTGTCTCAATTTATATGAAAGCTTCAAAAGACAAGTGCGTGTAAGATCTCTTCTGTCATTATGATTGTGATAAGTGCTCCCTGCATTGTGTCTGTCACATTATTTGTCATGAAGACTGATTGCTTTACATTATTCAGTTCATACGAACTGTTTATATTATTTGTAGAAGATATACATCTTGGAAACATCTGTGATATATTATTTATGAGCTGACGGTTAGGGAAGCCTGAGAGCGTCAAAACGATAAATGAAGACAGAAAGCCAGTATGGAATTCAAATGGGCGCAGTGAGGATGGCGAGGACGGGAAACCGCACCGAAGCATGGAAAGCCCACACGGGCTAGCGAAGCATTTGCAGACCCGCACGGGTGTGCACAAGTTGGTCCGCCGTGTCATGGCAGCCCAACTGCTGGGAAAACTCAACACTCCCCACGCGGAAGCAGCAGGTGGGAGCTTTGGGCTCCCGCTGTAACAGCGGGTACCGAGTATCCAGGTAGAGCAAGCAAGCAAGCTGTAATTTAGAGGTGCGGAGTCCCGCCGGTACCATGCCAAACAGCCCCGCGCCACGGATGGGTGAGGGCTGCAGAGGCGCGTGGCTGCCATCCACACTGCATAATGTGCTTAGCGTATGCATAGTGTGTGTGTGTGCAGGGGGCAAGAGGGAAGGAGGGATGGTGTTGGGAAGAGACAAAGGAAGGGAGACGATGCGCAATACCAACAATTGCTAATGACATTTCAGAACGAAACAGGTTCTACGCCACACTCAGACAGATTCCAGCTTTGTGGCGGCCATCAGCAAATAATGAGTGGGTTTAGTCTTACGCCACACTCAGCGATATTCCAGCTATCTGGTGGCGGCCGGTAATTAATCGAGTCTGGGCCAGACAATCCCGTGATCCGAAGCATGCGCATCCGTCTGGGTACCCAATGGCATGGCTCAACCAAGTCAGCGAGCCTGACCCACTGATCCCGTTAGTCGCCACTTTCGACAATCACGGGATACTAAAGGCACTTTCTATCCCGGATCTTCACGAGACCAGACAATCCTTCTGAAAGACAGTGCAACCACGATCTACACGCATGGCCTACGATGACGTGTGTCGGGCAAATGAGTGAGTGTAACCACCCGAACCTAGTAGTCGCCTCAAACAACAAGCATGGGTTACTGCATACAGACCGAACCTGGGTCTTAATTAGAAATAATTGCGTTAGCCAGCTCAGCAATATTGCAGCTAACCTGAGGTAGTCCGTGGGAAGAAGTACGGACCAGCTCCACTATAGTCGTGCAACCTGTTATCGCTGATAATGGCAAGCACAGGCTAATACTAAAACCGGCCTGCGTCACGTGGTGAGCTGAAAGGATGTGACACAGAAATGACCATTTTTGGTTAATGCCTGCACCGCGTGACGGACACGCATACACGCAGGGAATTTAGGCGATAATCAATGGACAATTACGACATTAAGGCCTGATTTCAGGTAACAACCCGAACCCTAATAGTAGCCTCCATCGACAAGCATGGGTTACTGCATACAAACCGAACCTGGGACTAATTAGAAATAATTTCGTTAGCGCCTCGCTCAGCAATATTGCAGCTAAAATGAGATGGTCCAAGAGAAGAAGTATGGACCAGCGCCACTATAGTCCTGCTACCTGCTATCGCCGATGATGGCAAGCACAGGCTAATGCAGGCTACTACTGAAACTGGCCTGCATCACGTAGGTGAGCTGAAATGAGGTGACACAGAAATGACCATTTTTTGGTTAATACCTGCACCGCGTGACGGGACTCGTACACCGCAGGGAATTTAGGCGATAATCAATGGACAATTACGACATTAAGGCCTGATTTGGGGTAACCACCTGCACCTAATAGTAACCTCTTACAACAAGCATGGGTTACAGCATAAAAGCTGAACCTGGGTCTTAATTAGAAATAATTTCGTTAGCGCCTCGCTCAGCAATATTGCAGCTAGCCTGAGGTGGTCCGTGCGAAGAAGTACGGACCAGTGCCGCTATAATCGAGCTACCTGTTATCGCTGATGATGGCAAGCACAGGCTAATGCAGGCTACTACTGAAACCGGCCTGCATCACGTAGATGAGCTGAAATGAGGTGTCACAGAGATGACCATTTTTGGTTAATGCCTGCACCGCGTGACGGGACTCGTACACTGCGGGGAATTTAGGCGATAATCCATGAACAATTATGACATTACGGCCTGATTCAGGGAGTGAAAGAAAACTCGCATGCCCTGCCCGTTCAGATGAACCTTGTCTCTGGCACTGATGTGGGTGTCAGTGATGTCCGGGTGCCGAGCCACTTTCCCACCCAGTTCCCGCACGACATTGGCAACGCGCCTGTTGAGTTTGCGCCGCTTAATGTCGATGGCCCGCGGGTTCTGGGCCCCCCTCCATGCTAGCCTGGGCAGCATACATGACCATATGATGGTAGCTTTTGGGCACCTCAGATGCAGGTAAAGCAAGTCAAGGTATATAGCATCAAAAAGCGGCTTAGATGCGGTAGCGCAGAGGTCATTAGAACCCAAGTGGATGACCACGAATTTTGGCTGCGCCTCCTGTTCGATAAGCCTATCAATATAGGTCCTGAACTGGGCCCATCTCATCCCCCCTTTTACCAGCCACTTCCCACTGACTGGAAACTGCTGACCTGTCTCTGTATGGTGAAGGAGCCGGGCCAAGTAGCTAGACCCGATGAACCAGGCTGCATCTGAAACTCGTGGCGATAGTTGTGGGATTTTGCATAACATTTGGCCCTAACACATTTAAAGATCATAGGATGGATGGTATGCGGATGTATGTCTGGTAAGCCGCCGACTTCCAACGCCCCAGTTCCTGGATCTGTTGTGAACTGACGCCCTGTAATGCTGCTGTGGTGGCTGCCCCAATGCGAAATGAATGTGAGGAGTACAAACTAGGGTTAATGGGCTCCGGGATTGACGCCAAAGCCTTTTTGAGCACCGCCTGAAACTGAAATTTTGTTAGTGGGGAGCTATCAAAATGGGTGAAAAAATACCCCGTACCAGTAGGTCTGATGCAGCGGAAACGCTGCACTGCTGCGACAGGACATAATGGGGAGTTCGGCAATGCCTGGATGGTGATGTATGCTCCCAGACCACCCTGATCTGTTTTGGAGCTCCGCAAATGTACCTGTATAGCTGATAAGTCACCTGCGACGGTTATATCTGAAAACAGGCAAGCTCTGTTAGTGCTGTCCCTTGCTGAGGCTGCTACCAGCTCGCCCACTCTGAAAAAACCAAAGAAAGTCAACAAATATGCAGCGGCAAACAGCGCTGCCTCGTAGGACTGGCTGCAGACCAAAGGCAAGGCACGAGTGATCTCTGCAAGAAGGTGAGTCGTTATTGGTTGTCGGGTGTCCTGTCGATGAGACAATCTAGACATACCTGAAAGAGCTTTCTGAACAAGGAAGTGGTGTGACACATCGCACATATTATGCAATTTGTGGAGTGCTGCCAGCCCCGATACGTATGACCTGGCTGTGGCAGGCGACCTACCTGACACCGATAAATAAGCAATAAACTGTAGCCATTGGTCCAACGGTATAGGCCAAAGAGACGGTAAACCAAATGCAGCGCGGAATTGATCAAACGCTGTTTTGCCCGCCTGATAAGTGCGCCATGTACTTGGTGCCAATGATGAAGTGATGAGACGGTTAACCTCAGACATCAGATGTCCCACATGTCGTTGGGAGTGGGGTTGGTACCTTGTCCGCATGAGGCGCTGCTGACCTGAATCGTGCCCACTGAAATCTCGAAAGAGAATCTGCTATAATGTTAGCGTGGGTGTCAATATATTTCGCTTTGAACAGAATGTTGTGTCTGAGACATAAAAGCACCAAGCATCTAAGGAGTGACATGACCCGTGGAGGCTTTGCTGTCTGACGGTTTATTATGTGGACCACAGCCTGATTATCACAAAAGAACATTATCCGGCTGTTGGAGAGAACAGAGCCCCACAACTTAATGGCGAGAACGATAGGGAAAAGTTCAAGCATGGTTAAATCCTTCAGCCATCCCTTTTCGTGCCACTGTGCTGGCCAGTGGCCGTTAGTCCAATGGCCCTGAAAGTAAGCACCGAATCCCTGGCTGCTGGCTGCATCTGTAAAGAGTTGTGCCTCCTGCGAGTTTGACCATCGAGGGTGCAAGAATAAAGTGGTGCCATTATGACTAGCAAGAAATTGAAGCCATACTTTTAAGTCAGCCCGGATACCCTGTGTAATTCTGATTCTATGGTGCGGCTGAGAACACCCTTTTTTGGGCATCGATGAGGCGCCGAATAAATGGCCGTCCAATGGGTATAGCCTTACAAACAAAGTTGAGTTTACCAACAATTGATTGTAAGTTGCGCAATGTCACTTTTTTTTGTTGTGTGCTGTCAAAATGTGATTGAGCTGTTGTGTCAGCTGTTCTACCTTATCCTGTGGCAGCCTAATTTCGCCTTTAGCTGTATCGATGGTTAAGCCCAAATATGTTAAGCATGTTGAAGGGTGAACTGTTTTGTCCGAGGCCACTGGAATGCCCAAGTGATTGAATAGCTGCAATGATGATGTGAGTAAATGCTCACAATTTTGGCTGGTTTGGTCAGCCAGGATGAAATCGTCAAGGTAGTGGCTAACATTGTTGCTGCTGGTGTATTTCCTAATAGCCCATTCCAAAAAAGGTACTAAATTTTTCAAAAAGAGCACAAGAAATTGCGCAACCAAAAGGGAGGCATTTGTCAATGTAGAATTGGTGTTGAAAGTGCATGCCAAGGAGAAAGAATTGACTAGGTGATACAGGTAGAAGCCGAAAGGCTGATTTTATGTCAAATTTGGCCATGTATGCATTTTTTACCTAAGGCTTGTACCATGGCGACTGCCTGGTCGAAGCTGTTATACTGTACTGTGCAGAATTCTTGTGGAATGAAATCATTGACTGACTGGCCTGATGGATAAGATAGCGTGAGCATGTGAAGTGCTATTAAAAAGTGTGACGTAATGCCGGCGGATATTACGTGTCTCTAAGCTTAGCTGCACGTGAGGCAAGTTGGTGACGTAAGCGGAAGTGAATCCAAGCGCGGGAATAAGATGGTGGACGAAATCAAAACAATGGAGGGGTTAGAAATTGGAACGAAATGGTAACGCAGCCCATAACACCATTTAGCTAAATATTGCTAAATGTCATTATAATTTTACAGTAATTATATAATTATAAATTAGGTACTGTCAAATAAATCAGGCTCGTGGGTATTATTTTCTATCACCTTTTGCCATTACTGCTACACATTAATAATTAAAGAATATACTACCCAAAAAAAGAAACGCATGGTCATTTTGTATTTTTTAAAAATCAATTAATGAACTATTGTGTTCAAAGATTCGTCAAAATATAACAAAAGTGTTGATAACATTGTTTTACACAATTGCACAAGTGAAACATCGACTTTACCTGAAAATGTTGATTTTGATGAGATTTCTCGAAGAGCATGCACTGTCTGGCTATAAAAATCAAGATTACTTTCGGAAATCGGCATTCGTTTTGAAGGAGTTTCAAGGTCAAATCACTACGCCACGTCTTGACGCTGCGACACGGAACATCGCCATTGAAAGAATGCACCCGGGAGATTACCAATCTTCTGTTGCCAGGCGTCTGAATGTTAGTGTGAGCACATCACGGCTTGCAGCTCGTTACAACCAAACAGGTATAACCAATGACCGTCCCCGTACAGGAAGGCCTCGAGTACATCCGGGTAGTACATTTGCGTGATCGTACTTCCACGGGTAAGAGCACAGCAGCCAGGGTGCCTGGACTTCGGAGGATATCCGGTCAAACTTTACGGAACAGGTTGAAAGAGATTAGACTGGGCGCCAGGAGATGCGACGTCGGGCCCCTGATTCGTCGTCACCCTGGCGCTCAACGTCTCCATTATCTAAAATTATCCACATGGTTGTATAGACATTTCCTTTTTCTAAACTGATGCAAAAACGCATTTCCTAAAGTCTATTTGTAGACGAGTTATACATGTTTTAAAATACAACTATTTTGCAACAGATTTCTGCGTTTCTTTTTTTAATAGTATGTACAGTACAACCAGAAATTATTGAGAATTTAATGATTGTAATTTATTTTATTTTTTGCACTCATTACTCACGTATGAAATGTGAATATTAGCAGAACATAACTCCAGATTTAAACACAGTAAGTGTTTTGTCAAGTCACTATGGGCAGCAATGCAGGCTTCAATGCGGCGGGGCATACTACTGATCAAAGAAGTTAGAAAGTCGTGGTCCATGCTGTCCCAATATCGGACCACCTCTTCTTTATATTTGTCAGATTTTTCTTGTTGACACTTTCCTTCATAAGTCCCTAAACATTTTCTGTTGGATTTAGGTCAAGGCTATAGCTTGGCCAATCTAATAATGTCATATTTTGGGTCCGAATCCAGGCCTGTGAATGCTTTGAACGATGGTTTGGGTCGTTGTCCTGCTGGAAAATAAAAAAAATGCCATAGAACACGCGAGCAGATGGAAGTAAATGTCCCTCGAGAATATCTGTGTACCGCTCAATGTTCATATTCCCTTCAAATACATAGAGGGGCTTTGCCCCTAACACAGATATGCCACCCCACACGTTAAATTTCGGACTGTACTTTGGACGCTGATACAAAGGTCCAGAATTTCAGTGTATTAGGAAACAGCCACACAGAACTTTCATCTGAGAAAATCACATTGTCCCAGTTAAAATTTCTATGCTGTAAGCACCAGTTCAACCTTCGCTCCTATTGTACAGGATTCATGATCGATGATGGAATTCCTCGACTTTTCTGCAAACCCATTGCATGCAGCTCACTTTTAATTGTCTCCTTACAGACAGCCACAGTTCCTCTAACAATCATATCCAGCCTTAAGTTTTCTAAACTCCTTTGTTTGTTTTTAGAAACCAGAATACCAAGCCGCCCCTATCACCGACAGTCAATTGTCTGGGCCTACCTGCGCCTCCCTGGTGCTCAATGCCATATCCATTTGCAATATTTTTCAAAACACGATAAACAGTGGACAAAGGGATGCCTCTTCTACTTGAAATCACTTTAGCTGATCTGAGGTCCTTGTTATAATACTCTAAATCACCTTTCTCTTCTCTAAATCATCCATACTGAGGATCACTGAAAATGTCGTCTGCTAGCAAGTAAACAAAGGGGGATAACTCTTCACAAACTAATGAAAAAGTATTAACGGAGTTGTCTCTCTTGAATGAAACCAAGCACTTGATAGCTGGTCAAGGTTGTTTATACTAGAAATCCAATTATTCCTAAAATTCTCAATAATTTCTGGTCATACTATATCAAAAGGAAACGGTATGTTAAAATATCAGCCAGCACATTGTGAACGTCACCGTAAGAATGGATGTTGATGATTGCATTCTGGCAATGTGAACGTTACGCAGGTGTGAAACATGTTTCTGCGGCATAGAAGTTTCAGGAACAAGGCAACCATCCTGTCTCCGTGTTTGATGGTATGCTTCCTGAAAATGAATTGGATGTTTGCCTTTTTGCTGAAGTATGTGACAGTAGATATACAAAAAATAGTAGGTTTTGTAATCGGTTATCTGCCTGTTTTGATCTGGTGTAACATTGTGATCATTCAACCTTGGGGTAAAGAGTGTGTAGCATGTTGTCACAACGGGATCCATGAGTCAGCCTTCATGCTCCACATATTCGTGAATGGTCTCACCTCCTCCGTACGATTTCCGATAGTCCACTACTCGTGAGGTTTAACGTGATGTTCGTTCACTTCACCTCATCTAATCTCATGTTCAGTGTTGAAAAACTGCCAAAATCTACTTACGCCTTGAATGGGATTCAACCTTTGAATTAAAGGTCGTAAGGCAAGCATATAAAGTCATTATAGAACGAGCTCGATTGTAAAATGACAGCAGATACTGGAATTACTATAGCATTGCTCGTAGGGAAAATAATCAACAATTTCAGTCACAGATAAGACTATTTCTGGCGTCTCCTAACGTAATATTGCGTGATTAATGCTAAAACCAAAGGCACTCACTCGATTAATTCCAGATCGCTATGACATAGCTGTCTGTCACAATAAACATCGGTATTTCACTTACTGATTAATTCAGAATTTCGAAAGATTTAACTAATGCAACCTCCAAATCGATCGATATTCTAGAACTAGGGAAATACGTTCCTCGGGCTGTTAGGTCATAATAAACATGAAAAACTTTCGCTTATGGATAATTGTAAACCTGCATGTGGTAGACAGTACTGTCTAGTAAAAACAGTATTCCAACTCTTGCTTTTTTGCCGTTTAACGCTGCACTCAGCAATATTCCGGCTATATGACAGCGGTATTTAATTAACCAAGTCCAGACCAGAGAATCCAGTGATCAACAGCATGAACAATTGGGATACGATGACATGTGTCAACCAAGACAGCGAGCCTGACAACCCGATCCCGTCAGTCGATAAGCTTGTGTTGACAAATTCTAATCCGGATCTTCACGAGTTGTATACCCACTTGACACAGAGAGTACCTACTTGAGGGAAAATATTCCACCCGTGGTTGACAATGTTCCTGAAATATCACGACCATGAAAGTTAACGTCTTCTAAGATTGTATTTATTTGAAAAGCGAGGAACACATTTTTAAACAACAATGTTTAAATCCAGGCTGTTACATGTACAAAACACAATAAGGTTTACTCAACTGAGCTGCAATATCAACACTACTAGAAAATTGCAAACGTATGTTTCGTAAACTACACAGCATCACAGATATTTTGATACGGATACAAACGCAAACATTTTGCTCGCGGCAGTTTTTCAGTCAAAATCAAACAAAGCCTACAAAGAAGTCGGGTCGGGTGAATATTTAGCGATCTAAGACATCCGAATCAAAATATAACCAGTGCAGATTTCATCGCAAACTTTCAAAACCTTTTTGCATGTTTTATTAATTTTGTCAACACGTCTTGTCCCAGTTTTAATTCGCCATTGTCAAATGTCAGGCTGAATATCGAAATCATAAGAACGTGGAGTGAAACAAAAAATTCCCATAATCATAGGGAAGCTCTGCTTACCTCAAAACTTTGATTGTGCTTATAATGTGATGACACCAGGCCTTCAGCAAAGTGGTGAGACTGTAAATACCCCACTTGTGTCATCTGTTACGATGACATGCAACTCAAACCGTAAGGCAAACAAAAACCTATTGCACAAGAAAAAACAGGAAATTGCATCAGACATCATGTTATCCTGAAACACATATTTCTCCTCAGACGCGTATATAATTGGGCGCGGATGCCAAAAGCGACAAGGGGTAAATACTGTTTGTCCTCCTCCATTACGTTAACGTTTGTGTTAATTAGAAATACGAAAGTAGGATATGCGGCTTAAATACTTCAGAAACCTCAACACTAATTGACATGATTATGCAGTTTATCTGACTCAGTGTGGAGGTTTTGTAGGGCAGAGATATTGATATGCTGTAAAACATGCATATTTGGCTGAAATTGATTTTGATCTGATTATTTTCATTTTCAGGAAGGTCGTTCTTGTGATTACACCATGTCCAATACAACGCCAGGGGAGCTGGTTACAGCCATGTATGACAACACTACCCCGCCCATCGAGATGACAACCATTGTGTTTCCACCAGAATACCACAGACTTAACACAGTGATTGTTTTCTTTAACACGTATTATATCTGGGTCATATTCGGTTTTGGATTTCCTGGGAATTTGATGAGCTTGTGTGTCATCGTTGGCATGTCAAAACGAAGATTAACAACGTCGTTTTTCTACGTTGCAGTTCTTGCCGTCGTGGACAATATTACAATCATTCTGAAGATTGTTGAAAATCAATCTCGAAGTCACGTGAAGTTGGTATTTGATGAAACTGGGTGTCAATTTCTATTTTTCTTTGGTTTAACCTGTGCAGCATTTGCCAACTGGATTCTGATTATAATATCCGCGGAGAGGTTAACAGCAGTGGCGTTTCCAATGAAAGTGGCTCTCATCTGGTCCTTGAGGAGGGCGGTTGGCGTCATAGTTTGTGTGTTTGTGTTTATAGGCCTCATCCACGGTCACATCTTCGCCACTGTCACCCATCACAGCAACTACACATGTACGGTGAAGGACCAGTTCCAACAATACATCCACCCCTACTGGTACTTCACCAGTTCTGCGGTTTATGCATTCATCCCTGCCACATGCCTGATTCTTTTCAACGTCCTCATCATTCTTTTGCTTAGGAGGTCCTCCGCCCAGCGACGGAACATGTTGTCCCAAAGCGACCCGTCCCTCTTAGAAGCACGTCGTCAGGAGCGACAGGTCACAATCATGCTCGTCGTCGTCGCTGTCACCTTCCTCGTCCTCACCATCCCCAGATGTATTTCCGTCATCGCCTTCCACAGTATGTGTACAAACAACTCGGACGTGATGTGTACTGCACGGAGACAGCTGTTTAGCACCCTTACTACCCAAATTGCTGACACCAACCATGCTATCAACTTTTACCTGTACTTTCTGACTGGGAGAAGGTTCCGGGAATACTTTCTGAAGTTTTTCAAGTGTAGAGGATTATTGTACATGAAAGTGTCGAGTAGCAACACCCATGTGTCAGAACTGCCTCTTACAGACTCAAGGATTTGAGAGCAAGTGGTTGTGTTTGTTTGTTTGTTTGCCACACTCAGCAGTATTTCAGCTATATGGCGACGGTTTGACATGAAATCTGTCAGCCAGTTCAGCAGCCCGACCACCCGATCTCGTAATGGGTCTGTTACAGCAAGCACGGGTTGCCTAAGGCCAGTTCTAACCGGGATCTTCACAGGTAATCAAACGGGATCTTCAACACTGTGTGTTGTCCACACACAAGAATAGCTCACCTACATGTTGGTTTCCTGTAACTGGCAGACCAAGGGTGGCCTCAAGACGACAAGACCGCCATGTTTTGTGACAGCATGTACAGAATCCCTTCATGCAGGCATCCGAAACAGCACGCCAGACAGTGGGAACACACAGAAGACCAATCAGTACTGATACAGTACGCCGACGTCTTAACAGCGGGAACCTCCATTACCGTAGACCTTACCGTGGACCTATCCTCACCCCTCGACATTGGCGTGAACGTCTACAGTTTGCCGACCCGTGAAGATCCGGGATAGAATAGGTCTTCAGCAACGCATGCTTGCTACAAAAGGAGACTATGCTTGTCGTAAAAGGCGACTAACGGGATCGGGTGGTCAGGCATGCTGACTTGGTTGACACATGTCATCGGTTCCCAATTGCGCAGATCGATGCTCATGCTGTTGATCACCGGATTGTCTGGTCCAGACTCGATTATTTACAGACTGCCGCCATATAGCTGGAATTTTGCTGAGTGCGGCGTAAAACTAAACTCACTCAGTCACACTAGATACTGAAGTCAAGGGTCTGAATGGATGAGTTGGTGTGTCATTGGTGTGTCAAGATATTGTACACAAAATATGTTTTTGATCCGCTTATTATGTCCATTTCTGTAATGATTTGATTACAGTGCCTAATTTTTAAATCGTACTGACGTTTCTTTGCTGCTGAGTGTACATATGTTTAGTTTCTTGGTGAAAACCATCATCGTCAGGAAGGAGTGCCCACTTACCTTGTGGATATGTGTTCCGGCAGCTTACGCAACACCATACGAATATCACGGTGCTGCATCCAAACATCCTTTGCATTCTTTTTTTCGAAATAATGCAGTATTTGTTTCCAATCTGTACACGTGTGTAAGTGATGCTATTCTTGCTCAGTCGTGTGTTCTATATTCAGATTTATATATAAGCCATATTTTCACGTCGCGTGTTGATCATTCTTTCACTTAATCATGTGATGTCATACTTGATGTTGTTCACTGGTGATCATGTGATTGTTTGCGGCTGGTGATTGTTTCATTCAGATCAGTCACAGTGGTGTAGCTTTGTGGTTATGGCGTTTGCCTGTCATGCTAAAGGTCTGGGTTTCATGTCCATGTGAGTACAAGGTGTCAAGCCCATAATTCCTGAAAGTATCCTACATTAATCCTGGAATTGGGTTCACTGTCTTTAGACTTTTAACCAAAGTATTCCAGAAAATGTTCAATCATTCTGATTAGTTTCATTTTCGTCATAGTCACTCTGTTCATGAAATGGTGTGTACATGTATAACTTTGTTTATAACCGGTACATTTTAAACATACAACATCCTTACAATTGTCTGTTTTTCAGTGCATTGTACTGCATTCTGTTATTAACCCCATGGACACATTGGCCACGACTCCTTCATTTATGGATCATTCATAGATTATGTGGGGCAGTAGGTTGCCGAGTTGTTAAGGTGTTCGCTTGTCTTGCCAAAGACCTGGGTTCTCCACATGGGTACAATGTGTGAAGCCTGGGGTCCCCTGCTGTGGTTTTGATGGCATATTGCAAAAAGCGTTGCAAAATCCGACTCACTCTGGCTATATTTCCTGAAGCTATTTCTTGCTCCTAAAAGTAGCCATGTACTCAGACTGAGCAAGAATGAGCACTAGTGAATGAGTGAGTGCGTTTAGTTTAACGCCGCACTCCGCAATATTCCAGCTATATGGCGGCGGTCTGTAAATAAACGAGTCTGGACCACACAATTCAGTGATCAACAGCATGAGCATCGATCAGCGCAATGGGGAACCGATGACATGTGTCAACCAAGCCAGCGAGCCAGACCACCCGATCCCGTTAGTAGCCCCAACGACAAGCATGGGTTACTGAAGGTTCATTCTAACCCGCACCTTCACGGGTAAAAAGAGCAGTACCCTGTGATGGATAGAGATAGTGACTTCACTTCACAAATGAAAATGTCGTGGTGAATAGGTCCAGTGAATTCATTTGTCCTGATGCGTCAGGGATACGTGCTTACACGCTGTTAGTTATTTGTATACATGACGCCTGTGGGATTATCCAGGAAGCAGACCATTGTTTAGGGCAGTGTGGAGCTATATTTGTGAAGTGACTTATCTCCAGGAAATAGAACCAGATTGAAGCATGCCACACTTTAACTGTTAGAAGCTGTTTTGGTGATTGGGCATGCCCAGTGTAGATATGAAACAACACTTCCACAGACCTGTTTAGTGATGTCATTTAACTGCAATATATATAAACTGTTTCATAGATTTTTACAATTTACAGAATGTGACATGAACTTGCTCAAATCCCCCATGTCTTTTATAACCCTTTGACTTGTTCTTTTTGAAGGACAATGTTTGATTTTTTTATTGTACAACCAAGCCAGTATTTTTCAAAAATAAAAATACTTGTTTTGAGGAGAAATACATTCGCGTTTAAACTTGTGTCTTTAAAATTGTTTAGGATTTTTCTCTCCAATACCTAAGCTTCAATGAACCTTGACGAGCGTTATGCTATTTATGCCATCTGTAGGTTTATGTTGTTGCCTAGTAATATCTGCGAACCATGATAAGCAATTCTGACAACATCATATGATTATGAATATGTCACTTTCTCAACAAACCCAATTTAAGTTTCAATTTAGGATTACGTCAAAGTAAAGGTATGATCAGTCCTGACTATCGTCAGAAACAGATTTCATTCGATGCAAGGGGAACACTACCAGTGGAAATCATTAGAATGGACCACTGGAAGTCAGTGTTGATAAAAGAATGAACGTGTGTCATCGACGACATTTGAGTTCAACTATCGAAGTTCTGTTTCATGCTTTTTTCGTAAAAATTGCAAGATTTAGTTAGTCTGTTAAAAGTGCAAACATGAAACATATATCTTTTTCTATCTTAAAAAACATTTGAGAATATAAGTGAAAATGATATTTTAAAATGTTTTAGTTTTGTCTCAATTTATATGAAAGCTTCAAAAGACAAGTGCGTGTAAGATCTCTTCTGTCATTATGATTGTGATAAGTGCTCCCTGCATTGTGTCTGTCACATTATTTGTCATGAAGACTGATTGCTTTACATTATTCAGTTCATACGAACTGTTTATATTATTTGTAGAAGATATACATCTTGGAAACATCTGTGATATATTATTGATGAGCTGACGGTTAGGGAAGCCTGACAGCGTCAAAACGATAAATGAAGACAGAAAGCCAGTGTGGAATTCAAATGGGCGCAGTGAGGATGGCGAGGACGGGAAACCGCACCGAAGCATGGAAAGCCCACACGGGCTAGCGAAGCATTTGCAGACCCGCACGGGTGTGCACAAGTTGGTCCGCCGTGTCATGGCAGCCAAACTGCTGGGAAAACTCAACACTCCCCACGCGGAAGCAGCAGGTGGGAGCTTTGGGCTCCCGCTGTAACAGCGGGTACCGAGTATCCAGGTAGAGCAAGCAAGCAAGCTGTAATTTAGAGGTGCGGAGTCCCGCCGGTACCATGCCACACTGCACCAGTTTATTTACAACAGTGAAAAGATACAAAGAAACCGACCTGACAAGATCTTACCGCGCAAAGTCTTACTGGGTGGATACCGCCTGATTGGGTGAGGGGCACCGACTGCAAGCAAAGCAAATTAAGAAACAAATGAAAGCAACATAGTGATATAGATTTTCCATCGCATACGCACTCTTTCAACCATATTGCGATCAAACAAGTGAAAACGGGTAAGGTAATATTATTAATGATAACAAAATCATTGCGGAAGCGCTGTGAAAGGGATGGGGACGGGAGGGTGGGAAACGGACTTTTTATGCAGCAGGTAGCGTGAGCATGTGAAGTGCTATTAAAAAGTGTGACGTAATGCCGGCGGATATTACGTGTCTCTAAGCTTAGCTGCACGTGAGGCAAGTTGGTGACGTAAGCGGAAGTGAATCCAAGCGCGGGAATAAGGTGGTGGACGAAATCAAAACAATGGAGGGGTTAGAAATTGAACGAATAACGTAACGCAGCCCATAACACCATTTAGCTAAATATTGCTAAATGTCATTATGAGCTGACGGTTAGGGAAGCCTGAGAGCGTCAAAACGATAAATGAAGACAGAAAGCCAGTGTGGAATTCAAATGGGCGCAGTGAGGATGGCGAGGACGGGAAACCGCACCGAAGCATGGAAAGCCCACACGGGCTAGCGAAGCATTTGCAGACCCGCGATCGGTGTGCACAAGTTGGTCCGCCGTGTCATGGCAGCCCAACTGCTGGGAAAACTCAACACCCCGCGGAAGCAGCAGGTGGGAGCTTTGGGCTCCGCTGTAACAGCGGGTACCGAGTATCCAGGTAGAGCAAGCAAGCAAGCTGTAATTTAGAGGTGCGGAGTCCCGCCAGTACCATGCCAAACAGCCCCGCGCCACGGATGGGTGAGGGCTGCAGAGGCGCGTGGCTGCCATCCACACTGCATAATGTGCTTAGCGTATGCATAGTGTGTGTGTGTGCAGGGGGCAAGAGGGAAGGAGGGGTGGTGTTGGGAAGAGAAAAAGGAAGGGAGACGATGCGCAATACCAACAATTGCTAATGACATTTCAGAACGAAACAGGTTCTACGCCACACTCAGACAGATTCCAGCTTTGTGGCGGCCATCAGCAAATAATGAGTGGGTTTAGTCTTACGCCACACTCAGCGATATTCCAGCTATCTGGTGGCGGCCGGTAATTAATCGAGTCTGGGCCAGACAATCCCGTGATCCGAAGCATGCGCATCCGTCTG